GGCAATCTACACATCTCAAGTAAAGTTTTTTATGTATGACGGTGTGAAGGCTTTGACTTGACTCTCTCATGTGCTTTTTAGTTGTCTGTTCAAACTTCTCCCCTTACTCTGTTCTTCAGAACACAACCTACTTAGTCTTCCTTCTCTGACTCCTCTAATTACCTAAATCACTTTTCCTTGCTCTTTCATTCAGGTAGTACCTTGCTAATAACATCCTTCCCTTAAAAAACAACAGGACTCACAATACTTACATGTTGAATTCTGCAAATTCATTTATCATGCTGTGTGTCATACACTCTTCAATCTGTGTCCACTTTGTCTTTTAGCCTATGAGCTATTTGGAGCAGGGGTTGTCACCTGGTGCATGCTCGAGCAATGCACAAAGGCATTCTATTTTAGACAGTATCTGAGCAATGCTGTAGCAAACAATAAAAAAAAATTGTAGTTATAATTATCCCTCCTGCAAGCTACATTAAAAAACATGATCAAAAACTCAGAAATTGAGAAATGACAGCATCAACTCTGTTATGTGATTTAACTAATTTCCCTTTCTTCTTCTGTATAAATATTATGATACTGACTCTGGCTATATCATAGCATATTATTTTTTCTGCAAAGGTCTTGTTCCTTTGAGTATTGCTGATTTTTTTTAAATGGTGTCCAACTCTTTCTTACCATAGGATTTTCTGTCATAATCCCATCATTGAATGGAAAATTACTGGTTTCCTTCTAGATTTTTCTTTGTTACTTTTATCAGGTAATGTGAATGATTCAAGAGTATTAGTGAAATTGTTTGGACAATGCTGACTTGAATACTTGTTACTCTATTTCAAAGATGGGAGATAAAACACAAATAGATTAAGCATAAAACATAAATCTTACATGTTAAATTAACAGACATAGGTTCTAACACTTTAGGCTGTTTCAAGGCTTCATGAAAATAAGTTTCGTGGGCTCTAGCCCAGCTACAGAGGTATTCCTACCTGGAGAAAAAGAAATTCAGACTTTCTGTTCCACTTCTAGCACTTCCTGCATCTTCACTAATCACTTAATTGAGCATACGCCTAAGTCCTTTTAAAAATCATTTTACAGCTATTGTCTGTAGTATTTTTTCTTGATTTTTCAATATCTCTTTTTATGCATAGAAACCCACAGTAGACTTAGTATTTTCTGACCGGTATCCCAGTACAAAAAAATTGTTTAATTGACCGTTTCAGCAACAGGACTGCACCAGCAAATAGAGCTGCTTGTCTCACATGAACTCCAGATCTTTTGCAGAATCACCATGTCCCAGGGGACACACATTGATCTGAAAGATATGGTCTAGAACTCCTGTTTCTAAGTCAACAGTTTGGCAGTACTAATAACAGAGAATTGTACTAGTGATATTTTGACTGGAATCCTGGTTCATGTTCACCCGTTAACTGGCATTTTCCTAATTTGAGCTGTGTAGCAAATTCCTCACATCTAAATAGTCTTGAGTGCAATGGGGTAATATGGGTAGTGGGAAAGTGTCTAGGAATCATACATGAGAAAGGTCAGAAGTATTTTGGCCGCAGCAGGAGATTTCAGAGGACAATAAATATTAGCAGTGAATCTTCCTCCTTCCATAATTTTGCCATCTCTCAGGATGCAAGCTGCCTCATCTTCTCTGGGATTCTCAAGCCAAACTCTTCTCATCCACCTTGCACATTCACACCACTCTCCTTCTCTGTCTACATCAAGAATATCCCATGCTTATTCTTCTGCCCCTGCTAGATTTCTGTCATAGCAGTGGGCTCTTCCTGTGTTAAAGAGGTATTGTGAATATTTTATTGATTTTTTTTGTTGTTGTTCAGCATCAGTTTGGGTTTAACAAAGACTTAAAAGTGATAACTCAGGCTCAGCTCCAGTTAAAGAAAAAAATTCAATTTTAATTCAAGTTTTTACTTCAGTTTCAACTTGATTTTCAAACACGCTTTGTTTTAATACACTCATCTGTGTGATCATGATGTTTTTAGCATTATTTAAAAGTCTGTCAATATTTGTGTCAAGGGTACATTTCAACATAAATTATTCAGTATTTATTTCCAGATAATTGGCAACAATACTGAGTAGGGCAAAGCATGTCACCATAGAACTCTACTATAACAGGTACTTTTGAAGACTTGTCAGTTAAGGAGCCCTTAGTCATTTAACGTCTGTTTCTCCTGTATGTTTAATTAGAATGCTCTCTGGTACTAAATCAAGGTATTCCACAAGTCTAAATTTAAAGTATCACCTTCTAGTGTTCCATTTACTAACTCAAATTCTAATAGCTTTGAAAATGACTACTAATACTTCTTAAGCAGTGTTAACTATACCTTCACTCTTTAGTCTGAATTCCAGATAGCTTTTTTCTTCATCATTTTGTCTCAAACCAACATCCGACTTTTTGACTTATAACAGCATTGTAATATTTATATTTTTAGATGCTGAAAGTTTTCTCCTTGGCAAACATACTGGAAAAGAGTTTTGTTTTAAATTATTTGCAACGGAAAAATCGTCTTAATATTTCCTTATCAGATTACTTCAATTTTCTTTGAGCAACTTTTTGAAGATAGGTTTATATTCCATTTACCTCCAGCATTTCCCTCTTCGCGGCATTAGTTTAAGACAGTCTACCTGCTCCAACTAGTCTCCAAAAGAGAACAGTTCTAGTTGTGAGACAGAGGCTAGGATTTGTCATCCCCGCCACCATCAGGGTTGTCGCCTGATGCTCCACTCTGATCACATCTTCAGTCTCATATTAGTGAAGTAGCCATAGGCTCTTGTCCAATAATTTTCTGGTCTTAGGACTGGAAAATCTCAAAAAATATCAACTGGGCTTTTCCATTTTTCAGCTTTTCCCCTGATGTTTCCTACAATTCAAGCAGCTTCATGTGATTTTTGCTTAGTTACGTTCTCAAAAAATGGCTGACATATTTTTGCTGGAACACTGAATAAAAATGTCAGACAAAGATGAACATCACACAAAGAAGTCTTTAGATCAAATTATAAACAATATCTATAGCGATGATGCAAATGATGAAAAAATTATATGTACAATTTCTAGGTTTGAGTTAAAGTTCTTATGGACTGTGCAAAGTAGATTTTTTACAATTCATATTATAGTAGAATGTGGGGGAATAAATGTACTCCTATGTACTAAGCACTGCACATACATGGTTTTAAAATATAAAAATTGTTACTAGCCAGTGCATCAAAGTGAAAATAAATAAACAGCTATGTAAATTTACAGTGGGTTTAGCTACTAAAATTACTTCCAGATTTTAGAGTTAGGAACATTCCATGATAATATCCTCAGTGACGGTGTTTGAGTGGGCTACTGGAAATAATCACCAGTACGACACACAGTGCCACTGCTAACAAACCTACAAGTGCACCTTCTTCACTGATCCTTCTTTCCTGGTTTGTTTCCTGAGACCCTGCAGTAGCAGATTCCCACAGACACTGTCCCAGATGTTTCCAGACCTGCAGATGAGCTGCAGTTCACATCACCTGACCACAGCTAAACAAGCATTTTGTGTCTTCCCAGCCTGGGAATTGGAACTGGGTAGAAATTAACTGGCGAAAACCTGGCACCCTTTCCGGAAGAGCTGATGCAAAGGGTTGACGAACAACTTCTTCAAGAGCATGTCAAACCTCGTTAACAACTGCGGTGTTATTTGCTTTGGTTCTGTGAGCCTCCCTAAGATCTTGCTTTATGGTGAACTTGCCACTGGCTGCCGCAAGAGAGGAGCCCCGAAGAGAAGATACAAGGACTCCCTGAAACAACATCTCAGCCTTGGCCATATTGATCACCATAACTGGTCTACTCTGGCCTCCAATCGGGAGGCCTGGAGACACACCATCTATAACGCAGCTGTCTCCTTTGAGAACACACACAGGATCACCCTCGAGGAGAAAAGGCAACGCAGAAAGAACCGTGTCTTGCAGAATATACCCTCTAAGGAGTCTTTCTGCTGTGCCTTTTGCAATCGGATATGTCTGTCCCGTATTGGCCTCATAAGCCACCAGCGTGCCTGTAACAAATGTGGATAGAGCCTTCCCAAATCTTCGTTTGCGAAGCCCAGCCATGATGGTGAGCTGGTACATTGGAAGCGACACGGGCACAAAGACTGGATTCGGGGATGTGCCGTGTAGGGAGGGGATGCTGGATGAAGAGAGCTGCTCCTGCCTTGGCTTTTGGGACAGAGCAGGGAGGGGATGCTGGATGAAGAGAGCTGCTCCTGCCTTGGCTTTTGGGACAGAGCAGGGCGGATTGAGGGAAGAGAGCATCTTTTCGGGGTCTTCTGTGGGAGTTGACTTTAGCTGGTTTAACGAGTAAGATGGGCAGGCTGCGGATCTCTCCGTGGAAAAGCTGCAGCGGGCACGACCAGGCGAGCTGAGGGGAGCAGGGAGCCCTTGGAGGGGACACACTGCTGAGAGGGGCCTTTTCCAGGGCAGCCTGCAGCTGAGCCAGGACCCGTGAAAAGCGGGAAGCGATGCCCCGCCCTGGCACGACGGGCACACCCACACGGCCTGACCCGGACTAACCAGCCCATCCCCGCCGTCCCAGGCAGGCCCGTGCGGTGCCAGCGCCGCCCCTTCCCGCTGACCGCGCCCTGGCCGCCGCTCAGGGACCGCGCCTGCGCCCTCCGCGCTGCGGGACATGCGCTGATCCCGCCGTGCCCCTGCCTTGCTTCCCTTCCCCCCGCCCCTTCCTCCCGCCTTTGCCATGGCGACACCGAGTGGCCTGATCCGGGCCCTGCACCGCGGGACCCTCGGCCAGGTAACCGGCCTGGGGCACGTCCCCCGTCCCTTCCCGGTCTCCCCGGTGTGGGATGAGTCCCGTGCTCCAGGCGCGGCCGGCCCCGCCGACATCCCGCCCCCGTGCTGCGAGCGGCTTCGCGCATGCGCGGGGCGGGGCCGGGCCGCGCGTAGCTGACCCCGTTCTTCCCATCGTTCCCGTTTTCCAGCTTCTTTCCCTGGGCCCTCTCAGCCCCAGGGGCTTTTACTCCTCGGGGCACTCGGGGTGCGGGAGAGAGGGAGGGCTGAGCCGGCAAGCACCGGTGTCCTGGTGGTCGTTCAAGGGCTGAGGTACCGCTGGGCGTTGTGCGAGATTTCAGCGTTGGTCTTTGCTTCTTCTCTAGAGTATCACCTTCCGATTTTAAACGCACCTGCAGGCTAGGAACTCTTGTCTTCTCCAGCAGGAAAAAAAACCCAAACCGCATAGATGTCTGAATTGATGTATGTCAACTCCCCGCCTTGGTACTTACGCAGCTTCAGTATGTTATAGTAGGGATTACATTTCCTTAACATATTTGGGATTTTCATTGTAACCATAAAATGCCTTCACTTCCTCCCTCCCTCCCATTCTATTACAAAATTGAAATAAAGGAGCAACTGATTGCATTGATTGTATTTGGAAAGATAACCCTCAGTAATCAGCCAAGTCAGGTATATATTCAGTGACCATGTGTTTGTAGGCACCCTCCTCCATGAATTTTTATGTCTGTGAATGGTTTGCCTTACAAATCTAAATTTTTTATGTAGCTTACAGCCTTATTTTTAAAATAGGTGGAAGAATGATTAATTAAAACAATTTGATAACAATAATGTTGCATAATTTTAGTGAATGTTTGTTTCCCTTAGCTGGACAATTGGCTTGAAAATCTTGCTAATGTTCTTACATCATCTAAATCCTGAATGGTATGCTATGTTTCTATAATGGAACATTTTATCTAGAATGGTTGTCAGGGTAGATGTGTCTCATGTTGCTTGTGAAAAGAAATAGGAAGATCAAAGACGTCTTTCAGTTTCTTGGTGTTATCCACACTGTCTGTGACCTTGCAGCAACTGGATTCTGTTATCCTCAGCCGTTGAGTTGATATTCTGAGCACATCAATACACACTAATACACAAAAAGTTGGTGTATATAGTGGTGTATAGTGGGTACACTATGAGTTACGAGACCATTTCTGAATTAGGATTTTTAAAATGAAGCTTAAAAAATCAAGGCAGTAAGGGTGTTTCCATTTCTGGAGGTGCTTTGATTTCATTTCGCTTACATGTACCTAAATCTTCCTAGGTTTCTAACACTTACCATTTGAATAGTTCTTGCAAAGATGCCTCAAACCACTCATTATTTTTAGAACTCAAAGGTCCTTGAAAAAATACTGAAAGGACTTGTATATGCTTATCTTTCCAGATGCTCATGGTGGCTCTTTCTGATCCATTCAGTATCTTAGCAGATGGCCTCCTCTGTTTTCATCCCTCTAGCAAAGGATTCTGGTTTATCTTGCATAATAGAGAACTCTGCTCTGAGTAAATATTGCTCTGTTATATCTTAATATTCACTCTGACATGCGCTGCTTTTTCACCTCTGAGTTACCTGTCAGGTCAAGGTGTTGGTGCTTTATCATCTGATTACTGTTCCACAATGTCCTTTAGATATGATAGGTCTGAGAATGTGCTTCCTCCCTGTTGTTCTTTAAATGTTTTCATTTAAAAACAAGAAGCCCCAAGTTAGTCTTGGTTATGTAGCTTCATATCACCCACCCTCAAGTAACAGTAGTAATTTAAGTTGCTCCTCCAATTTTAAATTCGAAGTCCAATGTGTTGTGGAATTCTGTCAATTTACTCTCTCACGTTAAGCGTCCTCTTACATCTGTATGGAAAGAATTGCACTGGAATTGAAGTAGTACTTCAGTACATCTTCAAAAGAATTGAAGAAAAAAAATGGTTTCCTATTTATGTTGTTCCTGTTTCCAGAGTGGACTCCAGAGTAGTTCAACTATTATGGCAGACAGATCATGTATTTGCTGTGTGCTAATGAGGAACATTCATTTCAAGCTGGAAAAGTGTTTGCCTTCAAGCTTGCAGAGTAGGCAAGTACTGGCACCCTGATAGTTTTGATGTTTAAGCATTTGATAATGTAGTCACAGTTGCTAGGAGGTATCATTTATGCGGTTTCAGCTTTGTTTTACTGTAGTGCACAGTTCATTATTATGCTGGATTTATCATGCTATGGAAAAGTTGCTCTATACTTTTTGTTGTACATATTTCTAGAACACAGCTAGAATTTGTAGGCATAATATATGTGGTTAAGAAGAAAGTAACATTTTGTTGGAGAGATTAATTACATTTGGGGTATCTTGACTTTCAAGAGCTTATTTTGAAATTCCCTGATTTACTGTTCTTCACTGGTCTCTAAGCCAAGGTTATAGAAAGTAATTTCATCAAGTCTGTTTTTTTGATAAGACACTCTTAAAAGTGGCAACTAACAGGTACTCCAGAGAATTACTGATAAAATTATGAGAAATCCAACGAAGGCATAACCTGTCAGTAGGAAAATTTACTCTAGAGTGAGTCAGTCAGTTGTTGTTGTATGTCCTGACAGAACATGGATTAGGTTTAGTCCTGTCAGCAAACATGAAGTAAAAGAATGACAAGGTCTTGCTTTTGATTATAGAGTCTCATGCATCAGTAGATGGCTTTTCAGACTCCCAGCTGGAGGCCTACTTTATTTGCCTTCAAGAATTCAGGAGTCTTTGGCATCATTTTTCTTTTCTAGTATCAAAATAGTTATCACTATTACAGTTACTGCAAGAATACTCTAGTACCTATATTGCTTTTCTTCCTGGGAGTATCTTTTAAAGAAAACAAGAATTCTCATTTTGCTACCTTTTCTCCTACCCTGGTCTTTCCTCTTTGATAGGTAAGCCTTCCCTGGCTTTCACACATGATCTGTTACAGTGGCTGTATTGTTATTGCTAAGCTGTACATTTTGATGTTCTACAAACTTCGTCTCTTGTCAACTTTCACAGGAATGATGCATCAGAAAGTGGATTCTCTTTTAGCTTCAAGTGGTACAGAATTGCATCTTCCAGCCACAAGGGTTGGTATTTTTTAATACGAAATCCTTTCCGTTTTGGTGCTAGAATTTAGTTGGTTTTTTTTCTGACTGGAAGTTGGATTTACCCTAATGAAACTTATCACACTGACTCTAGCAGGCACTGTTTGGGTCATACAAAGAGAAAATTGGTTTGAGTCTCACGATTCCAAAAATGTTTTTTCTACCTTTTGGTGAGTGTTGCACAGAAAACATCTCTGGTGAACATTTAGTCAGATACCACTGCAAGTACACAACCTTGAAATCTAATGAATCTTAGCCAACATGTTGGTAATCTTAGCAGTTCATTTAGGAATGTACCTGTTTCTTTGCCTGAGTTAATATCATTAAAACAATATCACAGTGTGGTTCCCTGTATGTAGTTTCTCTAGCTTGCTTTACAATTTGTGACCAAAGGTGGTGCTAAAATCAAGAGGCCTTTAGGGTATCTTACCCTGTGGCAGCCTAATGGGTCTCAAGGCCAAAGTTAGACTAATGTGGTGTGCTTTGCTCCTGACAAATCCACATTTGCTGTTGTTTTCTTTTAGTTATCTTCTAGGGAATTGCAAAAGATGGGTTTTATTCACTGAGTATTGGTGCTAAGCAGACTACCTCCCAGACTGCTCCTCTTTTCCTGTATTTTTGGAGACAGGAGTGACATTTTTCCTTTTTTGGTCTTCTGATACTTTACTTGGCCTCTGTGAACCTCTGTGATTCTGTCCAGTATTGTCAGTACTTTAAGAAGAGATCTTCAGATTGTTTGGGTCTGATGAAATTTGATTTACTTTTTTTGAAGAAGTATTGTTCTGGCAGTATTCAGGCCACCTGATCACCCCATTGTTACTGTGCTAGTCATGTTAATGACTGGTCATGTTTCATATGTTTTAACAAAGATGGCTGTGAAAAAGGCAGATAAAAATTGAAGGGTTGTTTTGGAGAAGACCATTAAAATGCTTTTTCCCAGATTGCAAATTAAATCTTCAAAATTTTTAGCTGTAGTTACCATATGGGCTCCAGAGAACGGAAGTAACTGAAATTACCAGACTCTAATCCTTAAGGATTTCAAAGGTTGTAGTTAAAACTACAGTGGGAGAGAGAGCTCAGCTTTTAGTATCATTCAGATGTGTTATGAATGAAATGCAAACAATTTAAAAGTATCCATGTTCCCATCTTGAATTTGTTGCTGTCACATAGGGGTCACTTTGTTAACCATTAATGAAATGAGTCCCCAGGTGCATGTAACAAGCTGCACACATACACAGGTTACTGCAGCAGGTCAACTTTAGAATGTCTGTCCAGACATTTGTGTACTGAAATTGATGGATGAGCAGGCAAATTTTTAAGTGCTTGCTCTGAATTTATGATTGTGACAATCCCCTGTGTTACATCTCTTTCTTCCAGAGAGCATGAAGGTTGGAAGTAGCAAACTGCTTTTGACTGAGTTAAAAAAGCTGGAAATGCTTTTTTAACCTGTTAGACAGCAAAGACCCATGATGTTTCCTGGTGTCCAGTATGGGGTGCTTCAGCATATTGGAATCTACAGGACCTTTAGGAAAGATCCAAGTGATTTGAGAAATGCTTTCCAAGTACAGATATCCTCTATCTGAATGCATGTATGTAGAAATTGTGGCCTTTTTTTTTTAATTTCCTATTTTTCTGAATTTTAACATTTCTAACTATTGTTATTGAGCCTAGATACTGAAAGTTATTTAGTTACCTGGGTTCTTCTGAAATCAACACGTTCTAGTCTTTGGATTAAACCTCTAGTGTCTCCTATTCAGGTTGGAATGGAAGTCTTTCCTAATCAGTCATTTGTTTATACTCTAATCACTAAATAATTTATGTTTGATCCTCTAGGGAAAGCAACTTACCTTTCAGATAAAGCAATGGAATAGTTCTTTATGCCAGAATGAAATCATTAGCTTTTGTGTCATTTTCAGAGCTGAAGGCAAGTTAGTATACAGTGAGAACATAGATTTCTTGGGTTTTCACTGGGTTTGAGGGAGCTCGGATTTCCACACAGATTTATTAGACCTTCCAATTGTGGAGAGACTTCTCGTAATCTGCCTTGCTTAATGCCTTGTCTCTGATGGATTTTGACCACTGTTGTAGCTGCACAGGAGAGAGCCCCCATTGTAGGCAGAAATGAGGGATCTTTGAGGCGTGAATGGGTCCTATTCATTTCCATAATGGAGTTCTAACAATA